GGAAAGAAAGCAAGAGAAGAAAGAAAAAAAAAGAAGAAACGAAAAACGGGGGAACAAAAGGGAAAATATATCTCTTAAGCCTCTTGAAATTCTTGTAGATTCGCTTTTGCTGGGGTACTCCTTCAACAGTTTGCCAGGCCACTTTTTATCTCTGCATTAACCTTAATTTCTTGCTTGTGCTCATCCTACATTTCAGACATAGGTGAAGGCATAATGTCTGATTAGGTCTTTTCTAGACCTGTACTTTTATACTTTTTCAACCAGTTTACAAGAGTGCTATACCTGCCCTATTTTCAAAAAAGAAAGAGAAGAATAACTCTTCAACTTTTTCTTCCTGGCTTTGGTTGCTGTATTGTATGCCTCAATCATTATGTTTTGTCCCGGAAAACAGTGGATTTTTGTTTACTTTATAATATTGTCAAAGAGTTCTTGTCACTTTTCTAAGTAAGTTCCCAGATAGGCAAAACAAAGTCAGGTGCCATGCATTACTTCCCTAGGTAGCCCCAGAATGGGTAGAACACACAGAATCTTTTGTGAGTGTCTTCTCTGACTTCTCCGGAATGCGGGACCAGGGTAGTACACTGGGTGAGCTAGCTGCCATCTTTAAGCTGTTGTTGAACTAGGGCAAGGGCAAACGAAAACATCACAAGTATATCCTGCCATTTTAGAATTTTCTTTGCTCTGATTCAGTGTTCACTTGGTTGTTGCAACCTCAGACTGTTTCCCAGAGTTCTGACCAAGTTGATTCTGACAGTTTTGTTTGATTTCTTGATGTGTCTGTGAGGGCCGTTTCACTGACTGCACTAGCAGTTTCCTTTTGGGGCCTTAGTTATGTGATGTGGTATGCACTGCCTCTTGAATACAGTGGTGGCATATTAATATATGGTCTTGTTTCCTGTTTAGTTTTCCTCTCCTAATTAAATTATCCACATAATTTTTTAAAAGTATAGACAGTTTTCAAGTATAGAAACTCTAGTTCTTCTCTGTACTATGTCCACCACCCTCATTAAAAGTGTCTAAAATATAATCGATGAATACTTATTGTGGAAATACTCTCCATTTCCCCCCACACAGCTTCAGATTAAATAAAGTGAAAAATCATCTCATAAATAACCTTTGTGCAACTGAAAATTTTGGCTGCTGAAAATAATTCTGAATTGGTGACAAAGGCAAGATTTTTTAACAAAGTGAAATGTAAACTTTTGTGAAGTTAGAAACAGTTGTTGTATTGATTTTCCAGTGAGAAATGATTATCACAGAACTGTCAAGACTATTATTAGACACACATGGGTGTTAACTTTTATCAGCCATTGTGAGATTGTCATTTAAAATTTTATTATTATATTCCTGTTCAATACTTTACAAACTAATGTGGTTAAGAATGATTGGAGAAATTATTAATGTATGAGTTGTAATTGAATTCTCGTGTTTTATAGTATCTTTTAATTATTAGAGACCAAAGTTAATTGCTGGAAAAAAGCATTGAGGAATGAAAAGAGCAAAAATAAAGTTTGATGAAAGTTCAGCTTGGATTCAACTTCCAAGTAGTGAGACTGGAAGGACTTTAAGGGCAAAGCTTTGTTTCTCTGTGTTTGGGAAAACAGGGAGTACTTGCGATGGAAATTTTCCCTTACCTGAATTTTTTTTTTTTAAAGAGAGAAGAGAATGTAAAGGATTCCTTTAATAAATTCCTATAAGGGGTTTTCTCAACCACTTTTATCTACTGCTCAGAACTTAGATTTAATTAAATTTGCAAGACTGAGGGTGGGGTCAGGACAGTAATCTATTTCAGGATCAGAGAGCCAACTTTAAATTTCTTGTCCTCAATCCATTGGTATCACTACCTCACTGTTATTTAAATGCATGATTTTTTATTGAATTTCCTTTCAAGGAACACATAAAAACAAATTTCTTTTTTCTAAGAAACAAAGACTCTCCCTGTAACTTACTAGGTAGACAATTGCATTTTGAGTCTGTGTGATGGCACACTAAAACATTATTGTGTAAATGTGCAGATGAAGACCCTAAAAATTAAATAGTCATTGCATTATTAATAATATTGAATTAACTTACATACATTTTGAACTCAATGGGGAAATTTTTAATTATAAAAGAGATTTGCTTAGGATACTAAAATTTAAATATAAAAATATTAAGTTATTTCTCATAAGAAATGATTCTTTCTTGCCTTGTATTAATTACAACTTTTGCTCTCATATTTTATAATTTTTGAGCAACTTATACTGATCTTTTGAGCAATTTATATTTATATTGAAATAGCATATTCATAGGCTAACCTAGCTTTTTATAAGGTTTAAAAATAACTTTGATCATATTTCATCTACACCTGCATACATGCCTTTTTGTTCTTAGTAACGTAATAAAAAGAAAGTTGGTTCTTTTCATTATTGACTTCATTCTATATATTCAATTAGTGTGCAGTTACTATATTGAGATTATTATAAGTCAAGTAAAGTAATCAACGAACCAAACAAATAGACTTTTAGAATCTCCTTGGTGTTTCTGTGGTTATTATATATTTTCAGGAGGCCTTTGCCAGACTGCCTTACACTATAAGCCTTTTGCACATGGGTTCTATCTTCCAGCATTAATCTTCCCTTCTTTCTTCATCTAGATAAATCCTTCCCATTCTTCAGATTTTAGTTCCTCTCAAATGTCTTCCCTGACCTGCCTGATCACATCAGTTCCCTTGAATGCTTCTGTGTTGTAATTACGTGTTCTCCTCTGTGGCTTTCATCATAGTAGACAGCTTGACTTCTCTGTGATTATCTGTCCAACTCCTTCATCATACTGAGAGCTACTTGGGACCTATTTTGGTTTTGCTCACAATTGTGATCTTTGAGCCCTGAAGAGGTCCTGTTACAGAGACAACTTCCAATAGCGCTTGCTGTTGAATGGTTTATAACACTGTACTAGGAAACACCCTAATGTGCTGTCCTATTTAAAATTATATGAGCTTGAAATGATTTTTCTAGAAGATAAAATTGCTTTTTAATGTGTATGCAAAATAAGTCCAATATCCATGATAAATCAAGTTGCCACTTCACTTATCATTCATTCATTCATTCATTCAACAGTCCTTGCTCTATCTACTGCTGTTTTGGTTTGTTATTGCTGTATAACAAACTGTCCCCAGACCTCGTCACCTGATACCACAGTCATTTTATTATTTCTCACAGATTATGTGTCAGGAATTTAGACAGTGCATCAGGAATGAGTTGTTTCTGTTCCACGTGATGTCTCCAGAAGCTGGAACCTCTGAGTTGGCTTCTTCACTGACATGTCTGACTGCCCAGCAGGGGTGTCTAGAGCAGGCTGACTGAGGTTGGAGGGCTGTGGCTTGTTTCTCTTGGTTAACTGGGTTTTTTATTCTCCTCCATGCAGTATCAGAACCTCTCTCTCCATGGAGCTTTTACACATGGCCTGTCCACTTAGTCTCTCTCTGTGGTCCTTCAAGCTGGGTAATCTAATTTTTTTACATGCACTCTTAAGAAGGCAAACATGGAATCACCAGGTCATATTCTGTGTGAATCTCAACCAGACCATTTTAAGCAGAAGGCACTAGATAAGAGGTGAAGGTCAGGATGAGTGATTATTTGTAGGTGACCAGAGTCAAGCTTCTATGATAGAAAGTGAAATAAGGTTTGCTGTCAGCTAATTCATAGACTAGGGAGAGAAAGGTAAGGGAATGAATAATTATGGAAGCCATCAGTTAAAGTTATTAAGAATGTAAGCTTTATGCAAATCTTACTTTTGCCTCATCACTTACTTAGTGAGTGCTTAGATAGGTTAGTTGGTTCTCTCTCTGAGCCTCAAGTTTCTAACCTGTTCAATTACTTATGCAATTCTGAGAGACGTGCAAGAAAGACTGTGCTGTAAGTAATAGAAAACACATATTAATTTCAAATACAGGGGGTTTCACAAAGGCTGCAAGTGAAGTCTCACATAGCTTCATCCTTTAATGGCAGTATGTTAATTTTAAAACATAATAATAAAAGTATGAATAAATTTTTCTTTCCACTTAGAAAGTTAAAAAATATAAAATGTGCTTATTATAGGTAGGCTGAAAAGTTCATTTGGGTATTTTTCTGTACCATCTTGCTGAAAAAACCTAATGGACATTTTGTCCAACCCAATATATTCATTTATGAGGAAATTAAAATGGAAATCACCAACTTTTTAGAATAAGCAAAATATGCATTATTGTGTATCAAAACCTATTAATATAGTCAAAGCAGTAAGAAGAGGAAAATCTATAATCTCCAAACTATTTATTACAAAGCAAGAGTAGAAAAAAATGAACTAGGAAACAGAACACTGTAAGTATAAAGAAAGTAAGAAGAACTTGTTAAAAGTTAAGGCAGAAATAGTTAAACTAAGCACTTGTTTAAAAAAACTGAGAAAACCTACAAACTTTGACAGCTGTGATTAAAAAAAAAAAAACCATGAATTAAGGATGAGAAAGAACATGAATACATTTCAGAGATTTAAGAAAATAATTTAAAAAATAGTGTAACATCCTTTTAAGAAGCTGGATGAAATATAAAATTTAATTCAAGAGATTTAGAAACCTAAGTAATCAATAACTATAGACGCAGCTGAAGAACTAGTTGTTCATGTTTCTTTTTTATTTATCCTAATTCCCTTCAGTGGATTTATACTGATTATTCAAGACAGTGGAAAAGGAAACAGGTTTGCAGTTCTCACATTCTAGAAATTGAACACCCAATAAATCCCTTTTATTTACAAGTGAAGGCCACTCTCTTCATGATCTTATCCTATTTCCCAGTTTCCTCCACTGAACTTCCCAGAAGAAGGTTCTGACCTCTAATGACTATATATTTCATTTGCTTGAGTCTTTCTGCGTTGTTTTAATACCTTAGAATTTGAAATGGGACTATCAGGAATGGTTAGGCACGCGCTGCGTAGTTAGATCTGAACAGAATTGCCTACTTCTAAAAGTGGGATTCCAATCATACCTTTGGCTCACCTCATGTTTAGGATTTCAGTAATACAAACACTTCACATCTTCTCCGTAGTTTTCTTCACATCTTCTGTTTTTCCAATGTCTCTTCTTAATTCACTGGATTGATTTCTGCCAATAGCATAATTAAATTAAACATATACTAGCTTTTTAAAGTTAGCAAAAACTGAAATGAAACTAAAGATAGCACAGATATATGTGAAAACTATTTTTCAGTCTTAATTAAGCACATTAGTGCAAATATCCTAAATAATATATCAGCAAATTATATCCAGTGGTGAGTATATTATAATAATAATACAATATGATTAAGTATGAGTTTTATAGCATTTTATATAAATGTCCATATAAAACTATTTGGCCTTAGGCCTTTTTTAGTGACACATTTTTAGCTAGTATTGATTAAAACTGGTCAAAATTTGAAATGTAATATATTAAAGAAAGGAAAAATACTAAATTTTGTTTCTTTGCTTTTTGATTCAATCTGTCCGAACATTATTCACAGCCCCCAGCCTTCCTGTCTACCCTGCCATTTTATTTCTTATTTATGGTAGACTTCCACCCTTCTCATAGTACATTCCTTTTTCTGGAGGATTCTGTGAGGTGTTTCTCCACATGGCTGTCTACTTAATCCTTTAAAAAGTTTTGAACCTGGGATTTTTCTTCTAGTCCATAGCCAGGCAGAAAAAGATGTAATCAAAAAGATTTCATTGGTTCTATTTGTTGTATATTCTTTACTGGTCATGCCTCGTTCTACCATGGCATTATAACTCTTTGTTCCAGTGTGGTTTGTTTAGAATGATTCTTTTCCCTGGGGTATATTGTCAAAATTCACACTTGAATTTTTTTTTAAATCCTCAAATATTTTGCCATTCTAAAGGCTTCTTTAGACCTTCTAAAGACACCCAAAAGATCTAAGGAACACATGGGGAAAAAAAATCACTGGCATACCCTTTTGAACAGATATTGTAGGTGAAGGAAATAAAGCTGCAAGTGGTGTTTCCTCTTTCAACAGTCCTGCTTTCTGAGACTCTCCAAACTTCCAAGTGAAAAACTTGAAAGAAATATTTAGTTCCTTTTCCTTGTGATGATGTATCTGGTAAGATTGTTGTTGTGTGTGTTTGTGTGTGTTTAACTTCTATCCTATTTATACATATGAGCTATAAAGCATTTGAATTATGATACTTTTTCCAGATTCTTTAGAGCAAAATAGGTTTTATTATTTACAAAGATAATGGCAAATGTGAACTGTCTAAAGTATTTGTTTAGGATGTATGTTTTTAAATTGAGTTGGTTTGGGGCTATTTGAATATGTTTTGCTTATGTAGAAAATACCCTTGTTTAGTGTTTTTCTGAAGAGTCCCACCTCTGGATCTTCACACACACGCGCGCACACACACACACACACACACACACACACTAAATAATATGCTTCCAATGACCAGCTTAGAAATAATCAGTGTTTCAGGATAAATTTCCACAAAGCATTGCCTCAGAATGTGCCTTTTTGTAGAAAAGATTAATCTAGCCCATTATAGGCATAATGAGAAAGTCTTGAAAACAGTGGTTCACAGTTTATATGTGAAATCCTACTTTAATTATGCAGTGAGAGTCCACCTAGATACAGGAGGCAGTCACATTAGGAGAGTAGTCCCCATTATGTGTTGTTACTCGAGCTCTATACTCAGATGCTCACTGTTTTCAGTTCAGTTCAGTTCGGTCCCTCAGCCTGTCCTGACTCCTTGCGACTCCATGGACTGCAGTTACGCCAGGCTTCCCTGTCCATCACCAACTCTCAGAGCTTACTCAAACTCATGTCCAGTGAGTCTATGATGCATTCCAACCATCTCATCCTCTGTCTTCCCCTTTTCCTCCTGCCTTTAATCTTTCCCAGCATCAGGGTCCTTTCAAAGAAGTCAGTTCTTCACATCAGGTGGCCAAAGTATTGGAGTTTCAGCTTCAGTATCAGGCCTTCCAATGAATATTAAGGACTGATTTCCTTAGGATTGACTCCTTGGATCTCCTTGCAGTCCACGGGACTCTCAAGAGTCTTCTCCAACACCACAGTTCGAAAGCATCAATTCTTTGGCACTCAGCTTTCTTTATAGTCAAACTCTTACATCCATACATGACTACTGGAAGAATCATAGCTTTAACCAGACTGACCTTTGTCAGCAAAGTAATATCTCTGCTTTTTAATATGCTGTCTAGGTTGGTCATACCTTTTCTTCCATGGAGCAAGCATCTTTTAATTTTTCTTGGCTGCAGTCAGCATCTGCTTTTGGAGACTGAAAAAATAAAGTCTGTCACTGTTTCCATTGTTTCCCCATCTATTTGCCATGAATTGATGGGACCAGATGCCATGATCTTAGTTTTCTGAATGTTTACTTTTAAGCCAACATTTTTACTCTCCTCTTTCACCTTCATCAAGAGGCTCTTTAGTTTCTCTTCACTTTGTGCCACTAAGGTGGTGTCTTCTGCACGTTTGAGGTTATTGATGTTACTCCCAGCAATCTTGATTCCAACTTGTGCTTCATCCAGACCAGCGTTTCTCATGACATACTCTGCATATAAGTTAAATAAGCAGAGTGACAATATATAGTCTTGATGTACTCCTTTCCCAATTTGAAACCATCTGTTGTTCCATGTACAGTTCTAACTGTTGCATCTTGACCAGCATACAGATGTCTCAGGAGGCAGGTCAGGTGGTCTGGTATTCCCATCTCTCTAAGAATTTTCCACAGTTTGTTGTGATCCACACAGTCAAAGGCTTGGTCTAGTCAATAAAGCAGAAGTTTTTCTGGAACTCTCTTGCTTTTTCAATGATCCAGTGGATGTTGGCAATGATCTCTGGTTCCTCTGCCTTTTCTAAATCCAGCCTGGACGTCTGGACATTCATGGTTCACATACTGTTGAAGCCTGGCTTGGAGAATTTTGAGCATTACTTTGCTAGCATGTGAGATGAGTGCAATTGTGTGGTAGTTTGAGCATTCTTTGGCATTGCCTTTCTTTGGGATTGGAATGAAAACTGACCTTTTCCAGTCCTGTGGCCACTGCTGAGTTTTCCAAATTTGCTGGCATATTGAGTGGAGCACTTTCATAGCATCATCTTTCAGGATTTGAAGTAGCTCAACTGGAATTCCATCACTTCCACTAGCTTTGTTCATAGTGAGGCTTCCTAAGGCCCATTTTACTTCATATTACAGGATGTCTGGCTCTAGGTGAGTGATCACAACATCGTAATTATCTGGGTCATGAAGATTTTTTTTTTTATAGTTCTTCTGTGTATTCTTGCCACTTCTTCTTAATATCTTCTGCTTCTGTTAGGTCCATACCATTTCTGTCCTTTTTTTTGTGCCCATCTTTGCATGAAATGTTCCCTTGGTGTCTCTGATTTTCTCAAAGAGATCTCTATAGACTTTCCCATTCTATTATTTTCCTCTATTTCTTTGCATTGATCACTGAGGAAGGCTTTCTTTTCTCTCTTTGATATTCTTTGGAACTCTGCATTCAAATGGTTATATCTTCCCTTTTCTCCTTTGCTTTTAGCTTCTCTCCTTTCTCAGCTATTTGTAATGCCTACTAAGACCACCATTTGGCCTTTCTGCATTTCTTTTTCTTGGGGGTGGGCTTGATCACTGCCTTTTGTACAATGTCATGAACCTTCATCAGTAGTTCTTCAGGCACTCGGTCTATCAGATCTAATCCCTTGAATCTATTTGTCACTTCCTCTGTATAATCATAGGGATTTGATTTAGGTCATACCTGAATGGTCTAGTGGTTTTCCGTACTTTCTTCAATTTAAGTCTGAATTTGGCAATAAGCAGTTCATGATCTGAGGCACAGTTATCTCCTGGTCTTGCTGACTCTATAGAGCTTCGCTATCTTTGGCTGCAAAGAATATAATCAATCTGATTTCAGTATTGACCATCTGGTGATGTCCATGCCTAGAGTTTTATATTGTGTTGTTGGAAGAGGGTATTTGCTATGACCAGTGCCTTCTCTTGGCAAAACTGTTAGCCTTTGCCCTGCTTCATTTGGTACTCCAAGGCCAAATTTGCCTATTACTCCAGGTATTTCTTGACTTCCTACTTTTGCATTCCAGTCCCCTATAATGAAAAGGACATCTTTTCTTGGTGTTACTTCTAGAAGGTCTTGTAGGTCTTCATAGAATTGTTCAACTTCAGCTTCTTCAGTGTTACTGGCTGGGGCATAGGCTTGGGCTACTGTGATATTGGATGTTTTGCCTTCGAAACGAGCAGAGATCATTCTTTCATTTTTGAGATTGCATCCAAATACTGCATTTCAGCCTCTTTTGTTGACCATGATGGCTACTCCATTTCTTCTAAGGGATTCTTGCCCACAGTAGTAGATACAATGGTCATCTGAGTTAAATTCACCCATTCCAGTCCATTTTAGTTTGCGGATTTCTAAAATGTCAGTGTTCACTCTTTCCATCTCCTGTTTTCATTTATTTTAGGCTTTTCTCAGAGAATGATCTGATGTAGATAAATATTGTATATGTAGGTAGTCTTTATTTATTAGGTATTATGGTAAATGACTACTAATTTGTTGACAACAATGTCCTTGTTTTAAAAAATGATCATTTTATCATTTTGAATAATTTATAGTTGGAGGAAGAATCTGCAGATGAAATTATTTGTGATTGTGTAATCGTGAAAACGGCAGATATATCACATTATATCCATAGACTTATAAGCAATGTTATGTTATTGAAAGTTCAGCACTAACTTTATTTTTCCAGCTTCCTTAGAGTTTAATAAATTGATTTCATTGTACTTTTTATGCCTTCTACCAAAGTACTATTCTAAAAATTCTAACAGATCAAAAATTTAGTTTCCTTATCACAAAAAGCTTCAGCACAATTGACCTGCTGACCTTAATTCCCAGGAAAACTGTCACATTAGTTCTTTACCCCTTTGTCTCACTTAACAATGTGACCCAAAATACTGCAGAACTTTAAAGTTTCTCAGCATTGTAAGGTCAAGCTTTGGTCACCATAGTTACAGTTTAGCTCTGCAGGTCAGAGGTCAAATAGATTAATGATGTCAGACACCTCTTTAAATGGTTCTAACATTATTTCACCAAGTAGTAAACAGCTGAGCATATTTAATATGACAAAAGCATTCTTCAGTCTTGCTAATAAGAAGATCTTCAGAGACATATGATAGAAAGGCATTTTCTATAAGGATATGCAGTATTGAGGCTGTGCCAATGGCAATAATACTTGACTTATTAGATTTCTATTATCAGATGGAGATTGAAAAATAAAATATGTGATATAGTTCATATTACACTTTTCTGCACATTGTTCATTTTTCTTCTGTCATCAATCTGTTTGAACATCCATCTATTTCTAAGAATAGGTATCCTCACCTCCCTAGTCATTTGTGATTAACCTTGAAGATGGATAGAAAAACAAACCTTCTGATTAGGGGTATACTCTTCTTCTGTATGATTGACTTCGGTATGTTTTCTCTTGATTTCGGAAATACACATTAAAAATAGTTATATTTGCTTACAGAAGTGTGTTTTGAAAGCCCTTCTCACATTAGAGATCAGGTACATTCTCCATCTGTGTTTTATACCCAGCCTTTTTTTATGGCTTCAAAGTCTCTATTTTCAGATCTCGAGGTTCTATACTCAATTATTTTTATCCCTACAAAGAAAGTTTCCTTCATTGTGACTCAGAATGGAAGAGGAAAAAAAAGCTATTAAAGCAAAACACTACTTCTAGAAAATTTAAATGTTGATTTTTCTTATAAATTAGAAATTCTCTAAATAATTTTTGATTAAAAATCACAGAATTATACTTAAAAGGTGATGAAGCAAAATATTGTGGGATGAGATTAAAATTATTATTAAAATATATTTAGCTGAATAAAAAGCCACTTGATTATGACTTAAAGATATGAATTATACTGCAGAATGCTTTATTTTTTAACCCGTAACAACATGAAATTTTGCAGCTAATAGAAATATGTTTAAGCAACAGGCGTAAGTTAAAGTAAGCATTAAAGGATGTCCTGTTTCAGAAGGTTTTGTTTCCCAGTTGTATTTTGTGCAGCTGTGAGATTTTAAGCTTACTGGAGCATTTGCTCTTGATCACGTACTATAAAGGTAGACAAAGGAGAAGGCTAGGAGGTTTGGCAGCTGGGAGGTGTTCATATGGAATTTAATAGCAAAGAAGAGGGGGGCTGGGCTTTTCTAGGTGAAACAGAGATTGACAGCTGGGAGGAAGAAATAAGGCTTGGTGTCTGAGAAGAGCTGCTAGTTCAGTTGCGTGTAGTTTCAAATGACAAGCTAGCTTTCATGTGAATGAAAGGATTGTCTTCTGCTTTGCTTTCGATTCAATGAAAATCCTTTTTTTTTTTTTTTTTCTGATAGATATCATGGAAACCAACTATTCAGCAAAGACATTAAATACTGACCAGTTTGACAGTACTTAGGAACACTGGTTGAACAAATTGATGGACTGTTCTATTTGGTCATTATGCCAAGAGAATGGCAAATCAATATTTAACTACCTAAGAATTCACACCACTGAAACACTGGTTATATTTAAATCTGTTTATTTATATACATGGAAAATGTCCTGAAATGCACGAAAAATGACTTATTCTAAATGTACACAATTACTGGTGTCAAATAAATTATCAGATTGAGTTCTGACTTTAAGAATTTGAAATACCATTTTTTTTTCTATAAAAGTTGATGTGTGCCTTGCTTTTAGGCCTCTTGTTCCCGCTACTTACATTTTTAAAATGGACAAATCAGCTAATATTTAATTTCCTAATATTTGTTTATCAAAAACACATGGAATTTTGTGTACTACATTTTATTTACTCTTCTTTCTTAAAGTAATTCATTTCTTCTTCTCTTCCTATGCTTTTAAATTTATTTTAATATTTCCAGCTTTACATTTATACAGTCAGCAAAAACAAGACTTAGAGCTGACTGTGACTCAGGTCATGAACTCCTATTGCCGAATTCAGACTTAAATTGAAGAAAGTAGGGAAAACCACTGGGAAATTCAGGTATCACCTAAATGAAATTCCTTACAATTATACAGTGGAAGTGACAAATAGATTCAAGGGATTAGATCTGATGGAGTGCCAGAAGAACTATGGATGGAGGTTGTAATGTTGTATAGGAGGCAGTAATCAAAACCATCCCCAAGAAAAACAAATGCCAGAAGGCAAAATGGTTGCCTGAGGAGACCTTACAAACAGCTGAGAAAAGAAGAGAAGTGAAAGGCAAAGGAGAAAAGAAAAGATATACTCATCTGAGTGCACAATTCCAAAGAATAGCAAGGAGATATAAGAAGGCCTTAAATGAACAATGCACAGAAATAGAGTAAAGCAATAGAATGGGAAAGACTAGAGATCTCTTCAAGAAAATTAGAGATACCAAAGGAACATTTCATACAAATATGGACACAATAAAGGACAGACATGGTATGAACCTAATAGAAGCAGATTTTAAGATGAGATGGCAAGAATACACAGAACTACACAAAACAGATCTTCATGACCCAGATAACCACAATGGGGTGATCACTCACCTACAGCCAGACATCCTGGAATGTGAAGTCAAGTGTTCCTTAGGAACGATTACCATGAACAAATACAGTGGAGGCAATGGAATTCCAGCTGAGCTATTTCAAATCCTAAAAGATGATGCTGTGAAAGTGCTGCACTCAGTACGCTAACAAATTTGGAAAACTCAATAGTGGCCACAGGGCTAGAAAGTTAGTTTTCATTCCAATCGCAAGAAGGGCAATGCCAAAGAATGTTCAAACTACCATTCAACTGTGCTCATTTCACACACAAGCAAGGTAATGCCCCAAATTCTTAAAGCCAGGCTTCAGTAGAACCTGAACTGAGAACTTTCTGATGTAGAGCTGGATTTATGAAAGACAGAGATCAAATTGTCAACATCCACTGGATGATAGAAAAAGCAAGGGAATTCCAGAAAAGCATCTACATCTGCTTTATTGATTACATTCAACTACATTCAAGCCTTTGACTGTGTGGATCTCAACAAACTGTGGAAAATTCTTCAAGAGGTGGGAATATCAGAGCACCTTGCTTGCCTCCTGAGAAACCTGTATGCAGGTCAAGAATCAACAGTTAGAACCAAACATGGAATAACAGACTGGTTTAAAATTGGGAAAGGTGTATGTCATGGCTGTATATTGTCACCCTGTTCATTTAACTTCCATGCAATGTACATCATGCAAAATGCTGAACTGAATGAGTCACAAGCGGGAACCAAGATTGCCAGGAGAAATATCAGTAACCTCAGATATGCAGATGACACCACCCTAATGGCAGAAAACTAAAAGGAACTAAAGAGCCTCTTGATGAAAGTGAAAGAGGAGAGTGAAAAAGCTGGCTTAAAACTCAACATTCAAAACACTAAGACCTTGCATCCAGCCCCATAACTTCATGGCTAACAGGGACTAAATGGAAAAAGTGATAGATTTCACTTTCTTGGGCTCCAAAATCTCTGCAGATGGTGACTGCAGCCATGCAGTTAGAAGACACTTGCTCTTTGGAAGAAAAACTATGACCAGCCTAGCCAGCCTATTAAGGCAGAGACATCACTTTGCTGACAAAGGTCTGTATAGTCAAATCTATGGTTTTTCCAGTAATCATGTATGAATATGAGACTTGGACCATAAGGAAGACTAAGTGCCAAAGCACTGATGCTTTTGAATTGTGGCCCTTGGACTGCAAAGGGATTAAACCAATCAATGCTAAAGGAAATCAACCCTGAATATTCATTGGAAGGACTGATGCTGAAGCTGAAGCTGCAATACTTTGGCCACCTGATGTGGAGAGCTGACTCCTTGGCAAAGACCCTGATGCTGGGAAAGATTGAAGACAGAAGAAGGGGACGATAAAGATGAGATGGTTGGATGGCATCACTGATTCAGCAAACATGGGTTTGAGCAAACTCTGGGAGATAGTGAGGGACAGGGAAACCTGGTGTGCTTCAGTCCTTGGAGTCACAAAGAGTCGGAGACGCCTCAGTCACTGAACAACTGCAACAACTCTCCTGGCCAAAAGTGCACGTGTTTTGCTACTGTAGTAGCTTAGCGGCAGTTACCCAACCTTGGTGCACACTAAAGTCACCTGAACATAATGCTCAGGCTCACCGAAGAACAGTCGAAATAGTATAGTTGAAGGAACACATGCTTTGGGGTCAAACTTCCCTGCACTATGGCTCTGCTACTTAAAGCTGTATGGTATTGAGCAAATTATGTAACTTCTCTGTGTCTGTTTCCTTGGACTTTGTGAAGATTTTATAAAATATTGGCATTAGTTTCTAGCCTAGTTCCTGGTACCTAGGAGACTGTACTAAAGGATAGTAATAAGTGAGAAGAGTAGTCTTCCCTCTCTCCAATAGTGTGTTATGGTACCCTGAGCAAGAACAGCCATTTCAGGCCCATTTCTTTACATAAAGAATGCAGATGCAACAACCCTGGCCGAAGTCAAAGAGTACTTCCAACCTTCAAATTACAGATGCTTTGAAGGTTGGAGACCAATGTAGTAATATAAGATTAGCTTTTATTCAAATTACTAAAGCTGCTTGTGCCAGGCTCAAGGAAACACCATCAACATTTGAGAATATTTGTGTAGGGTATTCAGTACTTCAGTTGTCATTTTCTCGGAAGATTTCCTGGAATGTTCTGTTGAGTTGTTGACTACACCGTGACTCCTTTGTCTTTGAGTACGTGGAGTGATGACATCCATGAAGAATATTTTTACCGCCTTTCTTGTCAGTGCTTGAAATTTGTCTCGTTGTCTATCACATAGAGTTAATGCAGACTTGGGGTTTTTTCTTCGGTCTTTTTCAACTCCGTGCATCCCTCTTGGCTGCTAAGAATATTTCTTTAGAAAAGACAAGTTGTGTTAAGACTATTTCCTCCCTCCTTTCTGAGCTCATCTTGTTATT